AAGCGGATGCTTTTAGCAGCCAGTCCTCTGACCAAAGGCAAACACAAGCCGGGCAAAGCCACGAGGCAGAGCTTTGTAGCACCGTGACCCATCTGGCAAAGCCCAGAGCCACCCTGAAGCCCAGAGCTGCTGGGAGCCTTTGCTGTCCTTCCTGAGCCAGGTGTCTCCTTCTCCAGACCTTCAGCAACCAGCCTTCTCCAACCATGGAGAAAACCGTGGGGCCAAAGAGGGGCTGATGGGATGAACCTTTTGGGGTTTGAGGTAGGGCTTCCACCTCCAAGCACCAAGGAACAGGGGGATGTCCAAGCGCTCCTTGGGAGGAGACGGCCTTGCACCTCTCAGGAGGGTCTCCACCTCCATGGGGTGGTTTCTGATGCCCCCTACTCGGAGTGGTTTCTGATGCCCCCTCCTCTCCATCCCTTGCAGTCTCCAGACCACAGACTTCCCCCGAGGACCTGAAGGCGCTGATGGGGAACGTCAACCGCCTCAACGAGAGCTTTCGGGACATGCAGCTGAAGCTGCTGCACCTACCTCTGAAGGCGGACGTGCTGGATCACATCTGGAGGCTCCAGGACCTCTTGCAGAACCATTCAGACTCCTTGTTCCTCATGACGGGGTCACTGCAGAAGCTGGAAGGGCTTCTCTGGAGCCTGCAGACCCAGGCCAGCCAAACCGACAAGGCAGTGTCCAACCTCTGGGACAGCTTGACCCAGCAGAGCGACACGGCTCAGCAGGAGATGTACAAGCTCTCCGTGGAAGGCAACAGCAGCCGGCTGCTGCTGCAGCACCACGACCACCTCCTGAGCCACCTGGGCAGCAGGGTGGAGAGTCTGAGCGACCAGGTGATGGCCATGAACGGGGCCATGGACACCATGAACAGGACCTTCTCCTACGACGTGAACATCCACCATACCCGCATCCAGGACCTGCAGGTGCTGATCAGCAACGCCACCGAAGATGCCCGGCAGATGCGCCTCATCCACATAGCCATGGAGGAGCAGCTGAAGCACGAGCTGGCCATCCTCAACAACGTGACGGAGGACCTGCGGCTGAAGGACTGGGAGCACTCTGTCGCGCTGAAGAACATCTCTGTGATACGGGGTAAGCCGAGCACCTCTTGTAAGCAGCTCCCTTGCTGGTGCATGAAGCTGTCGTGAGGAGGGGGGTGTCCTCGGTGCTTTGGGTGGTGGTGATGGTCCCTGTGGCATGGAGATGTCCCGTGGGGATGTCTCAGGTACTCCTTGGTGTATCAAATCCACCAGGCACCACTGTTTAGGTGTCTGCAGTGTTCAGGTGTCTCCATCACCTTGGACTCTTGGACTCTCCAAATGCTCCTCCATCCATGTTAGGAAGAAAGCTCCCAAAGTTCCCTCAAAGATGCCAGGAAAAAACTCTGCCAGGTCCCTCCTGACCATGAAAGTGAACCAGACCAAGCGTGGCAGAGACGGTAGGTTTTTTGCCCTGCTTCATACTGCAGTGATCAAGCAGAAGGCTGCCCACCAGTACCCTCAGTCATCATCAATCACATAATTCGCTTTAGAAGGGACCCCCTTTACTCCATTTTCCCTCTCCCATCTTCTCCTCCTTTACCACACTCAGCCCCTCCCAAATCATCGAATCACAGAATGGTTTGGGCTGGAAGGGACCTTTAAAGGGACCATCTAGTCCAACCCCCCAGCAGTGAGCAGGGACATCTTCAACTAGAGCAGGTTGCTCAGAGCCCCGTCCAACCTGACCTTGAATGTTCCCAGGGATGGGGCATCTACCACCTCTCTGGGCAACCTCTGCCAAGGTTTCACTGCCCTCATCATGGTGAAATAAACCCCCCCATCCCTGCTAACTCTTGACCATAGTCTTGCTGATCCCTTTTTTTGGTATTTATATGATTGCCTCGGTAATCCCCCCCCTCAGTCTGCTAAGCATCCACTCCCTTTTTCGTAATTATCTGCAAGGTCCAGCCATTTGTCACAGCGTTATCTCATGAGCGTAGGGTTAACCATCTGCTTGGACATTTCTTCCTTTCTGATGTCAAGAATTTCCAGCTGTTTCATATCTTACTGTCTTGCTGCTGTGGGATCACCCACTTCTCTGCATCCCACAGCACTAGAACTGCTAGGACAGCCCAGCTCCAAGGGGACCAGCTCAGGTGGAGATGCCTGCACTGGAGAAACCCACTTCTGCTGTGGTGGACCCCAGTCTGGTTGCCTGACGAGACTGGGGAGCAGCAAGAGGAGGGTCCCTCTGTGCTGCACCAAGGGAAAGGTGGCTTTTGCTTCAAAGATCTTAGAGGCTAAAATAGAGGGAGCGAAGGGAGCTGCATTGCTTGGGAGCAGCTTGGCTTCGTGGGATGATGGGGAAGGGAAAGGGTCGGGCTTTTCAGGAACCGGGGCAGCCGAGCAGGGCTGTGATGGGAGCCAGCAAAGTCATGAGCAGCTTCGTGATTTATGGCAGAAGAGCAAGGGGACACCTGATGAAATGGTGGGCAGCAAGCCCAGGAGAGGCTCAGCCCTTTCCCACATGCCACCTTTTCACCCAGCTGGAGCTCCTTGCTGCAGGACTTGGTGGAGGCAGAAACCCAAGCGGGTCCAAAAGGAGCTGGACAAATTCACGCAGGACGCCTCTGTGGCTGTTAAATGCCATGACCTGATCACAGCCCCAGCGAATGAACTGGCCATGGGAGGGGGAAAAACCATGAAGAAACACAGAAGAACCCAGTGCAAGCTCTCGGGGGCAGAGCAAGAGGTTGGGGGGCAGTTGCTGTCCCACTTCTAGGCTGTTGCACCTGCGGAGATGCAATGGGCTGTTGCTCATTTCTGGTGCTTCCAGCTGAAATACCAGATGGGGAAGGAAGGGGCTGACGCCAAGGCACTTGCTCTCTCTGGCCGTCTGCTGAGCCGAGAGGGGACAGATGTGGTTTGAACCGCAGCAGCTACATCTCCCCATCCAGGCCAACCATCACCCTTGGGTACCAGCAGCTCACTGGGGTCATTTCCCTGGTCCTTGGGGGACGTTGGCTCCCGATGCCTGGTTCAGGGCTGCTGGGACCACGTTGAACCCACTGAGGTTTTCATAGCTGCCCACCCACCCCCATACCCTCTCTTCCCCCCACTGCCATGGGGAGGACATCACCCTCTCTTAGATGAAGCCGCCAAGGAAGGGGGCTGTCACGGAGCCTGACACTCGTGCACCATGTTACTCCAATTAACATGAGCAGAAAGCAAAACAAATCCCCTCCCAACGGGCCGGCACCTGATTTATCAGCCGCTGCTCTGACACATTCCTGGCAGCCCCCACCTCCCTCTCTCCCCAGCCCTCCTCCCTCCCCGCTTTCTCTCCGCAGTCTCGGCAGCGATGGGTCGTGGATAATTTAGGAGCCCTGTGCCCAGCTGGCTTTACCCCGGCTCCAAATGTCCTTGGATGAATCCACCATGCTCCCAGCTGGATTTGCACCAGTCCTGGGCGATGCAGGGCTGCCTGCTTGGGGGTGCATTTTCCTTCCCCCAAGACCTTAGCTACCCCGGGCTCTGGCTTTTTGAGGCTATTTGCTGGTGATGGCAGCTTGGGGAGGTCCCCAGGCTCGTCTCCAGCAGCCGACCATGCCAAGCAGCTCACGTGTCTTGGAGAGGGCTTGGCCTCGCAGCACAGAGGGGCTCGGGGTCTTAAATAACGGTGTCACCAGGAGGGAGGATGCCCGGGATCGTCAACCGCCCGCCCGGAGCCGCTTGCACAACTCGCTGGGTGGGATGTGCTGGCTCGCAGCAGGCCTGGCGGGGTGATTGCAATGGTCCCATCTGGCCGTCAGATCTGTGCACGTCATGAAAGTCCTCATCCTGATGGTTTTGGAGGGTTTTTCTCCTCCGCTGATGCAGCGAGCAGCCCAGCCCTGTGCAGGCAGGAGGGTGAAGCAGGGGTGCACCCCTCAAACGCTGTGGGGTGGGGAACAGCTTGGCACGGTGTCTGCGGCGCTGCTCAGCCTCTCCCAACCACCCCTCCCAGTCCTCCTCCGTCCTCCACCCCAGCTGCTCCCTGTGTCCCATCCCACCGGCTGTCCCTGGGGATGGGACCATCTCTGCTCATGGAGCTGCCTAGATGTAGCCAAGAGGAGATGTCCTGGTGGCTGATGGACCACAGGGCTCACTACTGTGGGAATAGCTCTGAAGGATGAATGCCAAAACCTAGGAACCAGCAAACAGGATCAGCCCGAGGGTCTGCCCATCGCCAAGCCCAGGCATAAGGGAAAGGGAATAATCTCTTCCCTGGCTGTGTTCTCCCAGCCTCTAGCTCTTACGGAGCAGATGAGATTGTCTGTTGCCCAGGTCATCCTCCATGAAATTTAGTTCCCTTCCTAGCCTGTTCATGCCCTTGATCTCCCCAGTGTCCCGTGGGACGGTTTTCTGAGATGGTAGAAGAGGAGATGATGAGATGAGATGAGATGATGAGATGATGAGATGAGATGAGATGGTGGCAGAGGACTGGGGGCCTGCACTGTAGCAGCTGATTTTAAGGAGGAAGGGCAGCTCCAACCCCCATCCCACCGAGAGGTGCCCCGAGCAGGCAGCTCCCATGTCCCTTCCAGGGTTAACAGAACTGAGTTATTTCCCAGTGTGCCCATAAAACCAGAGCAGATGGAAGTTGTCGGAGCTGCCCCCGCACAGGGGACCTCAGCCGAGCCATGCTGGAGCCAGCGTGTGGGAAGCAAGACGTTTCGTGTCAGCAGTAGTTTTGCTCCAGTGCCATCGGTGTGGGAGCCCTTCTCTTTGGAGAGGATGCTTGGGGCAAACTCAGGGTGACGAAATGGGAGACCTTTCCTTGGTGGCTCCCACCACAGATGTTTCCAGGGTTGCTTTTAGTTTTGCTCACGGTGGGAAAGCATCTGTTTTGTTTAAGCAAGTGGTTTTCAGCAGCCCAACCTTTGCTGTGCTGGGGTGCAGCAGGGGAGGGAGGAACTTGACCTGAACCCAGGAGCATGGCTGGGTCATGCAGAGTTTTCACTGCTCATCTTGGGACACATGGGGCCTTCAGGCAGGAGATATGCTGGTAGAAAAACCCCTTTGCCTTGACATTCCCACTGCTACTCATCAAACTCACCATCGCCTCTATAAAGCCATGGATCTCTGGCAGGCTCTGCTTTCTGTAATGCCCTGTAGGCTGAAATTAACGGTATCGACTTATTTTAATACATTCTCCATTAGTTCTTTATTTCAGAAGGGGTTGGGTCATACGGGGCAGCCTAAACACACCCACATTATTCCAGTGTAACAAACTGGCATGACTTGACCTTCCTCTTGCTTTTTTGGGGCACTGAAAATCAATGGCTGCACTTAACACCATCTATTTATGCAGTCAGGTGCTTCCTATTGCTTATTTATTTGCCGATATATTCAGTTTTTCAAACTCCAGCAGGCAAGCAAACGGATTTAAGAACATGTAGTTTTACGCTGCGGGTGGTGAAACCCTGGCCCAGGTTGCCCAGAGAGGTGGTGGATGCCCCATCCCTGGGAACATTCAAGGTCAGGTTGGACGGGGCTCTGAGCAACCTGATCTAGTTGAAGATGTCCCTGCCCGTGGCAGGGGGGTGGACTAGGGGGACTTTAAAAGTCCCTTCCCACCCAAACCATTCTGTGACTCTATGATTTAATGGCTGTTGTGTAACACCCTTCTTTAATGCTATGGGGATGAAAACTATTTCACCAGCCATCCCTGCACCTTCATACAGGGCACACCTCGCCTGGCTCCCTCCCCACGTCCCCCTGTGGAGCAGCTCTTGAACGTTGCTGGACCTTCTCCATCATGGAGAATCCTGCCTCTGCTACCCAGGGCCAGGCAGCGTCCCTGCTCTGCGTGGTTCCTCTTGTTCCCTCCCAAAAATGCCTCCTCATTGTACTCGGCTCTCCCGGGTGTCCATTGTTCTTTGCATCCTTTTGTTTTGCCAACATGAGACGTGTCCCCGGAGTCCAGGGTCCATCCCCACATTCTCTCAGCGCCCAGAGATGTGCATCATCTAGGGAAGATGAAACCCAGGGCAAGCTAACGCAATATCTCCCCGTAGCCCTCTCCCAGCCCCTCACCGTCTCCAGCTCGGGACCTTTCCTGAGCTTGCTGCAGTTCATCTGCTCAGAATCCACTAATTTCTGCATAATATTTGCAGATCCTAATTACTCATTCATTAGGACTGCTAAACATCCCCCCTCTTCCTCTCCTGATCCTTTTGCATTACCACGTCGCCTGTAGCCCTGGCTGGTTGTTTGCTTTCTGCACGACTGTGAGATTATGGCTTTTGGGGTTTCTAGGAAAAGAGTGTTTAACAGTTTCCAATTATCACCCTGGCTTGGTAGGACAAAGACCAAATGACCCCTCCAGGCCTCTCTCTGCCCTATTTTCTATCATCCCATGAGTAATTTTTTTTCTGTTTAAATTCTTTCTTCCAATTGATTTAGCTCATAATTGTTTTCAGCTTTGCAGACTTGGCCCTTTGCAGGCTGAGGAATATAACTCTATTACTGGGTTGGATTTTCTGCTCGCTCACGAGGGTTTACGCTGAAAAGCAATCACCGATGGCTAGTTCCTGATGAGATCAGTGATGCAAATCCCCTCCTAAAGATTCATCTCAATATTTCCAAAATGCATTTCTTTTTTTTTTTTTCTTTTTTCTTAACCTTATTTCATTGGAGATGTCACAACTTTGGGTCGAAAGGAAATTCCAGGAGGTTGGAATTTCCCATAGAGTCACGCTCAGGTGGAAGCGCAGGAGCTGCAAGCGAAGTTTTCTGGCACGTTGAGACAGGTTGATGGAGTCGTGTTTGGCCTTTAAAATCCACGGGTCGTGGAAGGAGGCTGCTGGCAAGCTCCCTCGCTGTCACTTTGCTCCTGTCTGCAGGGGTCTGTGTTTGTTAGAGGTCCCTGGACCTGATAAACGATAACGGCTGGTGAAGGGTGGGTGGGTGCATGCACTCATGCATCGGCTGCAAAGCTGGGGGGCGATGGCTGCACTCCGATACCTGTTGTGTTTCAGGGCCACCAGGACCCAAAGGAGACCAAGGCAATGAAGGGATGGAGGGTGAACCTGGTCTTCCCGGCCTGCCTGGGCTGCGAGGTAAGGAACACGCATCCAGGGTGCCCATAACCCTGCAAGCCTTTACCCAAAGTCCACAGAGTCATCGGGATGACTCCTGGTGACTTCCCAACCTGTCCCTTGGGACCTCACTGGCTATGCACAAGTCTTGAAGAACAACGGGATTAACCTGCTGCCCCATCTCCTGCCAGACTGCCAGTCTTTAGGGGCAAAAAGTCTCTCTCATCTCCCAGTTGGCCCCAGGACAGCGAGAGCTGCAAGGGTCCATCACCTGCAGGTTGATGCCCCCAGGCTCCTTTGACACAGCCACCCAGCTCAGGTTTGTGCAGGAGCTGGCCACCACCCTGTGCTCACTAAAACCAAGCCCTTGCAAGGTGCCGGGGCTGGCCCCGCTGCCTGCACCCCCCCGGCAGCACACGGGGACCCGGCGCAGGGCCCCTCCAGCCCGGCAGAGGGGACTCGGCCACCAGCTGCAGCTCTGAGGTTTTTCATAGGGGACTTTTTTCAACGTCAAGAATGCCAATTTTTTTCCCCTTCTTAATTCCAACCATTGTTTTTAAAGGAAATTCAATTAAAAAACCAACAGAAGACACCCCTC